GAGCCACAATCAGGACAACCATAAGGCCGAGGCCTCTACGTCCTGGAAGATTGGATTGGATTGACCGCAGCAGTGGAGCCTCGAATGGACCCCACTGCAAGATTTCTAGAAAACTAACTATTAGGCCAGGAATTTTCAGACCATAACAAGTTATAATTGACGAATCGCATGGGGAAAACTTCTTCCGCTTCTGAAATTTGAGCTTTGTTTAACTGTAGTAAACCTCGAGTTTATGTGCGATAACCACTTCATCAATTGAATCGCGCTTAGGTCGACGTCTCGCGATGTCTGAATACGATACGCTCCTCGCTCTGGAATATGCTGCAACGAGACTTAGGATAAACTCAATTAAGGCAACTAACGCTTCCAAATCCGGGTAATTTTTCTTATTTTTTTTAATTTTGTAGCCATCCTACATCATGCGCTTCTATAGCCGAGATAATGGCCGTGTTGTTCCTAAAAGAAATGCGTTACAAGCCCAAGGATCCTCGAAATCCCTCAAACGACCGTTTCGTTCTATCAAAGGTATTCAGCTTGTTCCCTGTAATTTGTTCAGGGTCATGCTGCTCCGGTGCTTTATGCTGCTTGGGCGGAGGTTGGACTTATTACAGAAAGTGATTTGTTATCATTGAGAAAATTGAGCTCTGATCTCGAGGGTCATCCGACACCGGTAAGTGCATTGCTTCTTGTTATATTTTTAGCGACTGAGTTTCATCGACGTTGCGACGGGTTCTCTCGGTCAAGGACTGAGCAATGCTGCTGGGATGGCCTACGTGGGAAAATACGTCGATCATGCAAGCTACCGAGTTTATTGTATTGTGGGAGATGGAGAATCTGCTGAAGGCAGTGTATGGGAGGCCATGGCATTTTCGTCACATTATAAGTTGGATAACCTTGTTATGATACTCGATGTCAATCGCTTAGGGCAGAGTCAACCAACCTCTCTTCAGCACGATCTCGAAACTTATCGGAAGCGAGTGGAGGCATTTGGGTGAGTGTCATGCACAAAGACTTCCAATTTCATTCCATAATCTGATTTTTGCTAAGAATGAGGCCGTTTACTTGCGTATGTCAATAACCGGATTGAATTTTTTCGTACGAGACAGTTATATTTTCATTGCGGATTAATCAAAGGTTACTTGTTTACTTTGCCCATAAAATGATGCTTACGGATTTTTTTAACAAATGAGTTTTTGCCTCAGTTTCGAAGCCGTTCGCTAATATATATATATATATATTCTTCAGCAGTTTATAGAGAACTCATACTTAACAAAGGACGAATTTTCCTTATGTTCTTATGCATTCGCGCTGTCGCTTTCGTTCCATGTGAAACGCTTGAATTGTGATAAGTGATGTTTCCTAAAGGCGTCGGTGTTCAATGAGGTGTATCGTCGCACTTCATGTAAGAAGCTTTTTCCACCACCGTCTCCAATGGCTTACAAGATTATCACAAATCGCTAATAATTTTCACCTCCCATCGGTAGAACTTGGGTTTTTTCGTAACTCTAGCGTTTGTTTAGCGTTAAGCCCAAATTTCAACCAAAAGGAACATATTGGAGTAAAGTTATTTATACAGAAACTTCAAAGAAAGTGCGAGATGCTGTTGGCAGCGATCAGTAAAGCTCGCTTCACTGTATCTCGCTGTACGATGATGATGTTAATTTTTAACGAATTGTTATTGGAGAGGGTACCTCAAAGTCATGATTTATGTTTATGCCAGAGGGAACAAGACGGTATTGGAATCTAGTGGACAGAATGATAGGACAAGAAATTGAATGTGTGCAGTGGAAGAGTGAAATCTACAAAAATCCTATGTCCAAAAATGTTCACATGCATTCAAGTGGCGTTCACACATTGATTGTCAACTCCTCCAATGTGATTGAAGAGCCACAACTAATATTGGTTATTTTGCGTCGAAGCAGCCTAAAGACCAGGAGAAACAAAAGATAAATAATTACGTGAAACAGGGGAATGACACTAGTACAAAAATTTCGAGATTATCGAATATGGCAAGAGTCTGAAGTTTAGTGGCGATATTTTGAATGTGAGAGGCCCAATGAAAAACCACAAGGTATTTAATAATTCTTAACCTGGATGCCGATGCATAGCCAGATCAGATGGAAAGGAACATGATTACTTAAATGTGCACTGAAAACATTTACAGGGAATAATATAAACAAAAAGTAGCGAAAAGTGGCTGAACGTTATGCAAGCTACCAGAAAACTGTCAAAATCAGACTTATGGGAGGTGGTGTGACATTATACCTAATGGTCAGTGTATCCGGAGAGGAGAGTAGGGGCCTTCGGCTAACCAAAGCCCGACCCGAAAAGCAGCGTGGAGGTTTGCGAAACCGCAATCCATTGGGGGCCGGTGTCCAGTTCATCAGATCATACGCCTTTTAGACAGGGTCAAACGTCCAAGGTGCCCAATCGAGCCGGTGGCTGCTGCCACAACCAGAAAGTTGTGTGGTTAGTACACCTCCGTTTGGCATCAGGGTTTTTAACTAACTCCCAGCGGTCCATCAACCCGGATATCGTCCTTTTATCTTCGCACTTTGGTGGAAAAACATCTCTGCCTTTAGAAGGCAGTGAGTAGAACTTCCTCAACGGAGGCTGTTCGAGACGCTTGGTCGTATGGGAGCATTTTGTGAGGTGCGAGGGAGGGGTGATCAGCCGCAACCCTTGACACCCACTCCCGACCATACTGAGGCTTTTGGAGGCTAAGGTTCGTAGTAAGAGTCATCTGCCCGTTTAGGAGAACCACCTACTTAATCCTGGTGAACTTTATGCTGCAATAAAGACAAGCATCAGTGGAACAATGTTTACAGCAGGGAACACCTTGGCTCTTTCGGACGGACGTTTGAGATTCACACTACTCGGTTCGCTGACAGGCATTCTGGTTACAGTTCAGCGTAACTTCAAGTCGCTTGATCTCACAAGGTTCACTAAAGACTGACGGTTCGTTTTGCTACGCAGGAATCCCTTGCGACTGAGGGATTTTCTATATTTCATATGCTACGCCTGTTTGCCCCCCCACACTTTACTCTATTTTGTATTCCAATCCTTCCGTTCTCTGTTATAGCTTTTGCTTCGGCCCCATGTTCGTTTGTAAGATAGTCATATCTATCTATCTATCTATCTATCTATCTATCTATCTATCAATTTATCTATCCGTGTCTATCTATATATCTACCTATCTATCTGTCGATCTACCTATCTGTCTATTTATCTATGGTCCATCGATTGTTTATCTATCTATATATCTATGCATATTTCTGTCTATCTATGCTATAAATCTATCTATCTATCTATGTATCTGAATATCTATCTAACTATCTGTCTATTTATCTATATGTCTATCTATCTATCTATCTATCTATCTGTCTATCTATCTTTCTAGTGATATATCCATCCAAATCTATCTATCTATCTATCTATCTATCTATCTATCTATCTATCTATCTATCTATCTATCGTCAGCAAAATTACGGTTGTCCCGGGAGGTGAAAGAACACTCGAGGTTCGCGGGAAATGCTCCTTGTTCTAGTATTTGTGTAAAAATAGTTTAAGCAGTCAGCGAAGTTTTATGGACGAATTGGTATGTAGTGTAAGAAACAAAGATTTGCCTAGGAAGCTTCAGAACGATGCTAATGTTGAATTTCTAGTAATTGAAACTGCTACTTGTTCTTTTCATTTTTACCTTTTCTGCATGCTGATCCTTTTCAAATCGTTACTCAAGTAACATTAGTCTAACTGCTCCGCAAAATAAGCCAGAAGTAATATTTAATACAAACTAGGGTATCTGTCAGTCAATCCAGACGATACTGGATTTGTCGTTAAATATTCATTAGCATTAAACCTTCATAGTGTACTATTCCTATATGTTCCTAATATCGTTTATTTTATCTGTCCGCAATTCAATCCGCCTTTTAAGTGAAAGCATTTTGTTAGCTTCCTTGTATCCACTGCAAGCTTAAAGTCGATCAGCGAGAATGGCGTAACTCTGTCGTTGTACATTGATAGGTATCAGAATAAGTTTGCTCCGTTATCATTTGCTTGTGTCAGAATAATTCATTCTTATAACTTCGATTTATGTACAGCCTGTATTCGTGTTCATTTCCTCAGTTTTCTACTGGCTGTGATTTTATTTCTGTTCTATCCTAGTTCAAGTATGGTATTAGCGCCGTCCATGTTATTATTAGTAGTACACGGATAACTTGATTACGATGGGTGAAGATCCAAGCCAATTTGAAGATTTTCTCCATTGTTCACGAAATTACGTTTGTATCTCGGTAGGACGAAACTTTGAAGATGTGTGTACTGTCCAACCCACGTGCGTTTACGGTATACTGTTCTTTTGATATAGCCATCGTCTGTACAACGAAAATCGATGTCCGGAAAGGCAAAAAAGTTGTCTTTTCCTATCTCAATTATAAATCGTACACCCGGATG